CCCTTTGTACGAACAAAAGTAAGAGAAATTTAGGATAAGAATACGAACATGTTCTTGCATGAGGCCCACTGTTCTTAGCTTTAAATTTTTGTTAAAAATACTGCAGCTTTTGTTTTCTGATGAAAAATTCACAAACTGGGTGCAAACAGTTTCAACCATTAGGCTGACAGAAAAAAACAACAACAATGTGTGTAACACACTGACCAGTGGTGAGAATGACGAGCTCTTCATCAGGACTCCAGCTCATTGAGGTCAGCCCACTGTCCACACTGCCGACACACTCCAGCTGTGGGACGCGGTCATGTTTACAAACTCGTCATCGTTTTAAAAACGGTTCCTTCTCGTTAAACTCTGCTGTCAGATTCAGAAATCAGATCCTGACTGACCTGCTTGGAGTTGAGGTTGAAGAGAACAACGTCTCCACCTGCTGTGGCCAAACAGGCGGACTGAAGCTCAGACAGGTCCTGAAGTCCCACCACCTCCCCGCTGCCGTCCTCCGGGAGGAACCCGTCTGCTGTCAGAGAGCTCTCACAAACAACCTGAGGACAACAAACAAACAAATAAACAAACACACACACACAAACAAACAAACAAACACACACACACACACACACACACAAACAAACAAACAAACAGACAAGCAAACACACAAACAAACAAACAAACAAACAAACAGACAAGCAAACACACAAACAAACAAACAAACAAACACACACAAACAAACAAACAAACACACACACACACACACAAACAAACAGACAGAAAGGTCCAGGACATGGACCTGTGACAGGTGCAGGTCCAAAGGAACGAGGACTCACCTGGCCGCTGCGAGGATCAAACTCTGTGATGGAGAACTGAGAGGCGACCAGCAGAGAGCCGGAGTCGGACCGAACACAGAAACACTGCGGGGAGCCGGGAGCCTGCAGCTCCGAGCTCCTTAAGCTCTTCAGCAGCTTCAGGTTCCTCATTTCAACTCAAGGCTTTGGTCCTGAAGGAAAAAATACAACACAACATAAACAAAACACAATGAAGCTGGTGGTACACATATAACAAGACAAACAGACACATTTGTTGGTACCCTTCTGTAATAATGATAAAAACACAACTGGACAAAAAAAAAACAGTTTTCTCATCACTTCTGAAACTTTGGGGCTCGTCGACATGATTCTGGTCAGTTCCCATCTCTTTTTAATTTTCTGCTACCTTTTATTTGTGATTTGTATTTTTATTGTATAAAGAATTTATGTTTTTTAATAAATGAATGAATAAACCACTACTACTACTACTTTTAAGGACCAACAAATGTATCAGTCTGCACATCAGTAACCTATCAGTACTGCAACAACAACATATTGAAAAACACACAATAAATTAATGTAAATGCTGTGTTAATGTATCATTTCCACAAGAATATATAAATAATAACGAACATTTCAGGTTTTACTTGGTTAATAACATCCTGTAACGTCGGCAAAAATACTGGCACAAAAACGGCAAATATTACCGACATGGGAAGCGAGGAAGCTTTATTAAAACAAAAAGACAACTGCGTTTTATTGACTGGATTTGTTGACAATTTCGCGGAACAAACACAAACTTTTAAAACCGATCGTCCGAAAATGGAACTATGTGCGTTAGCTTCTTTAGCTAATACATTAGCTTGTTTATCTAACGTTTAGCATCTAGACGCAAACTCAAACTGGCAGCTCTGAAAAACCCGTGAACAACGTTGAAAACTTACAGCGAAGACACAACTCGAAGATGTAGAGGCTCTTGAATTTTCAGAATCGAGACCAAAACAACATCCATGTGTCTCTCTGCCAGAGTCGGACCGAGGCCCTCTGACCTCTCAGTCAAGCCCCGAGTGGAGTCGAGCGGCGGTGGTGGCGCCCCCTGGAGGCGCGGAGTGAAAACTACACCAAATAAAAACAAAATAAAAGACAGGTGACTCCAGGCTGCAACACAGA